TTTTTGCTTTGTTTTCTGGAAATCTCTTAGCCAAGCCACCTGGATCCCACTCCTCTGCTTCGTGTCCTAGTTTACTTCACGCCTGCCGTACCTTCATGTAGCAGGCAGGGCAGACTCTGTTCTGGGCTGGGCTGTGCACTTAACTGAGAAGGCTCACTGTTGTAGCCTTCTCTGAGGCACACAACTTGCTTCATTTTCTTTTCAGTGCTGTGCATCAAATGGCCCACAGAGTTTATTCATTTAAAAATGTTGTGTAGAATTTCTCTAGTCATTTAGAGTGAGTGCGTTAAAATACAATTGGCTACACTGTTGTCTTTGAGATCTACTCCAACTAAATTACCTCTCAGCTTGTGAAAGGCCTTTCTCACTTTCTTCTAAACTTAGAACAAAAACAACTTTCTGGAGAAGCCTGTCTCGGGAGCAAAGCCAGCGCAATGTTATGGAGCCAAGTGTCCTTCTGTGGATAGATTACGCTTCAGAAAGCGTCTGTGCACGACAGGAATCGTGGGTTGATCCCCTGAGGGTGTTGAGAACCGTATCCTTCCATACTTCAAATGCTACGGCAGTGCTAGAAAGTTTGTCTTTGCAGCTCCCTTGGAGCAGCAAATGCAGTGCTTGGTTAGGGCTCAGGACAGGTCCCGAAGACATCAAGGGCCTCTATGGGGACTTAGTACCCACATTGCTGCTCAGAACAGTGGTGATAATTAGTCCCATGTGAAGTCGCAACAGGAAGGCCATATTTTAAAGCAAAAAATAGTTTCAGGATTTTATCAACTGGTAACAGGTAAACTGGGCTGTCAAACTTCAAATAGGGGCCACCATTGTGGCATAGTGGGTCAAGCCACCACCTGCAATGCTGGCGTTCCCAAATGGGAGCTGTTTGGAGGCCCAGCTGCTCCACTTCCAATCCAGCTCTCTGCTGTGGGCTGGGAAGGCAGTGGAGGATGGCTCAAGTGCGTGGTCCCCTGTGCCCAGTCCCCTGTGCCCCTGTGCCCGGTCCCCTGTGCCCCTGTGGGAGACCTGGAGGAGGCTTCTGGCTCCTGGCTTTGATTTGTGCATCTCTAGCCATTGTAGCCATTTGGAGAGTGAGCCAGTAGATGGAAGACTTCTCTTTCCTGCCTCTGCCTCTGCCTCTGCCTCTCTGTAATTCTGCCTTTCAAATAAACAAATCTTTAAAAAAAAAAAAAACTTCAAATGATACAGTAAATAGAGAAGTAAATCAACAGCCAGATTTCAGAAGATGAATTTGAGAAGTTAAAGTGGATACAGTATTTTTTAATTCCTAATATGTATGATGGTAATTATAGATTAAAAATTTTAAGTACATGTTTGTCACTCCTGTGCTAAGATAATATACCTTTGCCTAAATTCTGATAAGCTCAGAGATATCAGTTATAAAGTTAGAAAGCAAGAATCTCCTGAGCAGGCTTTGAAAATTCTTTTTATAAATCAGAAATTTGACAATTGGTTTCCAAAATGTGTTGGGCGTTACGATTCTGAGGGTTGTCAGAAACAAGAACTCTGACTTCCAAGATTGAGTTTTGCCAAGCAATGTAAGTTTTCCAGGAAGAGCTGTTCTCTGTGTCTTAGGAGAGTTTGCAGTTGATTTTCCAATTGCTGCTAAACTGGGCCTGGAGAATTCTGGAAGCTGTTACCTGGCCAGATTAACTATAATCTTTTTTTTTTAAAGGGATTTCAAATAATATTTCAGAGAACAGTGTGGGTTGTTCCTTGCCTAGTTCTGTCATCAGTTGCATAGGGTCAGGGTGTGGCACCATCATGGAGTTGCAGTTTCCCAGCGCCAAGCTTCCAAATTTGCAGCATGGTTAACAAGACAGGTGCAAAGATGACAGTAAAAGCTTTAGGTTATGGGCCAGCGCTGTGGCATAGTGGGTAAAGCCACCACCTGCAGTGCCGACATCCCACCTGGGTCCCAGTTCGAGTCCCGGCTGCTCCTCTTCTGATCCAGCTCTCTGCTATGGCCTGGGAAAGCAGTGGAAAGATGGCCCAAGTCCTTGGGCCCCTGCACCCTCGTGGGAGACCTATAAGAATCTCCTGGCTCCTGGCTTCAGATGGGTGCAGCTCCGGCTGTTGAGGTCTATTGGGGAGTGAACCAGTGGATAGAAGAAGACCCCTCTCTCTCTTTCTGCCTCTCCTTCTCTCTCCGTGTAACTCTGACTTTCAAATAAATAAATAAATCTTAAAAAAGTAAAGCTTTAAGTTAGCTTTGTCAAAAAAATGTTTTCCTTGCTAAGTTTCCATTAAATGATATGGCAACCAGACAGAATTGAGACACCCATTGAAGTATTTCATGGAGGGTCTCAAGTTGGAGAGAGACTGTTCCTCTTGGGGAATAGTTGCATATACTAGAACAGTAGAAATAGATCAGGAAGTATTGGGGTGAGACTGGGGTTGTGACAGCATTTGTGGCTCATGGTGAAAGGCTTGTGTGTGGATCACAGGATGGAACGAGATGCAGGATGACGCGAGGAGACTGCCAGCCCGGTCGGGTGGAGACAGCTTGTTCTGGCAGTTGCAGTGAGAGGACCAAAGCAGCCCGGCCAGAATGAGGTCTGAGCTGGACCTGTGAGCACAGGAAGAGCAAAGGCAGCTGCTTGGCTGTGCGTTTCGCCAAGTCCTCTGTAAAGGATTTGGCAAACTTGTTAACATTGCCTTCAAACAGATGATAAGAAATCCCTGGGACTTGTTCCTTCCATGGGAACACATGTTCTCTACATATGAGAGACATTCATGAATCGAGTCATAATTTCATTGCAGATTCCTTGCTCTCATTTGCAAAGATAGAAACGGGTCTTGTTTTAAACCCCTTGGTTGTGCTTATTATGGCAAACACGTTTAGAGCTCTTCTGTTCAGGACAGTAGCTGAGATGGTGGGCTGACATCCCTCAGAGCCAAGAACCTGGCTTCCAAAGTGCCTGCTTCTGGAGAAAGATGGAGCAGACCCTAGTAGCTGCACCCTCCTTTGGCTGGCAGCTGTCGAGATGGGAATAGGATGCGTCCTTTCACACCTTCTGTTAAAGAAGGCATTTTTACATAAGCTGCTTCCAGCAGGGGCTAAAAAGAGATCCCTCCGTGAGCTGAGAGAATACTGTTATTCCTTCCATATGGCATGAACAGTTATCCTAAATTACCTCCCTCTGAAAGCCACAGCAGACATTTCCATTGTAATCAAGTGCAATAAAACAAAAAACCAGTGTCTTTAGTATGTTCAGTAGGTGGACTGCTCACGGGATGCGGATGAGGAGTTCCAGGGTGGGGCTGAGGAGGAGGAGGAGCAAATGTCCCACACTGCTGGTGCATTTTGGCTTTTGGAGTCCACGAGATGTTGTTTAATATAAATTTATAGGTTTTTTTAGTTTTTTAAAACAATTTTAATATTTTCCCACATTTACTTCATATGTAGATGTTGTATACATACCTACATATATATATATATGTATATACTATTTTTTTCTTGGAAATGTGTATTAGTGTCACAGAATGAGGGATGCATGACGATGATGATAATGGGAAACAAGGGTAGATTATCATGTACATGGTATGACTGAGTGTAAGTGAGCCAGTCTTATACCCCAATTGATGACATCCACAAATTGTATTAACTTTCACAAGTAAGAGAAAGTGTGATATTTGTCTTTCTGGCTTATTTCACTTAGTATACTGACTTCCAGTGCCAACCATTTTATTGCAAATGTCTGGATTTCATTCTTTTTGTGGCTGAATAATATTCCATTGTGTGTATATATCACATTTCCTTTATCCAGTCATCAGCTGGTGGATGTCTAGGTTGATTCCATATATTTGCTGTTGTGAATTGGGCTGCTATAAACATGGGAGAGCAGATATCTCTTTGATGATTTCACTTCCTTTGGACATAGTCCCAGGAGTGGGATAGCTGGGTCAGATGGTAGCTCCATTTTTAGTTTTCTGAAGAGTCACCCTAGTGTCTTCCATATCGTTGTTACAATTTTCATTTCTACTAACAGCGTATTAGGGTACCCTTCTCTCCACAACCTCACCACCATTTGTCATGTTTTTGTGTTTTGGGTAATGAATATTGTAACTGGAATGAAGTGATGTTGGGTTGTTTTGTTTGCCTTTCCCTGATGGCCAGTGATGGTAAATATTTTCCCCTGTGTCAGTTGGCTGTGGTCCACAAGATCTTTTACAACTGTAGCTCACTGCTGAAATTGGTGCATAGAGTTGAGCAAATTCATTGTGTTTTATAAAGTGACTGACTAATAGCTTCTTATATTCATGTGCAAAAATTGGAATTCGACCAGACATGGGATGTTTTGAACTTACTAGGAAAATGTGGAGCACACAATAATAACACAGTCTGTTTTAGCTATGACCTTGAATTAAATGTTTCTTTTCAGTTGTCTCTGTTGTCTTCTAGGCCTCCCACTAAAAGGATTATTTTGCTAGTGAAATGTAGACTTCTTTCCATATATAGAAATGGCTCCCTGGTATTATGATTTTTAGAGGCAAAAGTTTAAATTACTCTCCTTATGAATTTTGTGAAGATTCTCTTCTCCTTTTCTGTACCAAGCACCAAATTGTCAATATTTTGAAGTCCCATCATGATGGACATGTGATCCATAACTAGGATAGGAAGCCTACTTGTATTGTGGTGCATTATCGCAATAATGATTTGTGTAAGCAGTTGGGAAAAGGAGGAATGCAAACTCAGGTCCAGAAATTAGGACAGAAACCATGTCACTTAAGGAGTTGCTGCACTGTCAGAGGAGCAAGTGGAAACTCTTGCAAAGGAAACTTTCAAAGCTCTCTGCAAGGCACTCCACTTTCACTGTTCATTTTCTCTCTACCAAAATTTCTTCACCTTTCAAATCAGAATAATGTGGGTTTCCAGCATATTATTTAAGAAGTTTTTAAGAACTGCATTTTTACAGTGTGCCCTGATGAGTAGACAATCACAATGAAAGCAAGAAAAGTTATGATGTGTCCAGTTCATTGAGTGTATCCAAGAAAATCTTCCATTCTTCGTACTTTCAGAAGAACTGAGTTTCACTGAAGTTCTGTTAGATGATAGTTGCCCCTCTTCAACTTGGTTCACAGCAAGTGCCCTAGGATTCTATATCGGCCTACATTGCTAGCTAACCTGCTGTCTGTTGCTGTCCAGATGGTGGAAATTCATCATGCTTTGGCCTTGGTCATTCCCCGATAGTCACGCCGTTTCATTCTCCGGTGTGACGAAGAACTATCCTTAAGACTTTGTTGGCAGGAACGATAAGGAGCCTGGGACAGTTCTTCATTAACTGAAAGTAAAAACAATCTCAGTTAAGAATTTGGGAAGCTCAGTGTCATTGGTCATGTGCAGCTCCTAAGTGGATACTGGTGGCCATTTCTGACGCTGATGGCCCTAGAGAGTTCCAGAAGCCAGGTCTCAGAGTTGGTCATTTTCTAGGATCTCCGCTAACCTCCTCAGCCGCTTCCAGAGGAATGTAAATCCTCATTCTGAACATTGGTGCTGCTTAGGGAACAAATAGCCAACGTAGGAAACAGTTGTCACCAGCTAAGGTGACTGTGTAGTAGATCAAGTGGATTAAGTTAAGACAGTCAATAAGCATTTACTGAGCATGTGTATAGGTCAGAAGTTAGGGATTTCTGCACCTGCTACTCCTTCCCCAAACATCTTGGGTATTGATAGTCTTCAAACAAGTCCAGTGAGGCCTCTCCCTTTTACTTTTTGGCATCTTTTATTGACAACTCTGGCCATTTGAACTTTTCATGATCTACAATTCCTTTACCCCTTAAAATATAATTCCAGTGAAAGCTGCTCTACTAAAATATTAAGACCCATCACTGGTGTCCTCATTACTAAATCTACTGGCATTTTCCAGTCTCTCATTTCACTCTCTTGTAGTGTTTGACACTAGCCCTCTTTGCGCCCCACCTCTCCCACCTCCCACTGTTATCCCTTTGCCTTTTATTATATACCCTCTTTCTGTATGCTGTCTGCTCCTGTGGTTTCAGATATTATCTCTGGCAATAGCCAAATCTGACTTTTAGTCCAGAGATCTTTCTTGAGATCTTGGTAGAACAAATACATCTCTCTTCTGACTGCCACCAACACACAATGAATCCTGTTCTCCCTCTTACAAGTTTCATAATTATAATAAATGAAGTCAAGCTTGAGACCAGGAGCCTGTAATCTCATGAGAGATGATAGACATTTTTGTAGAAGAGTTGAACCTGAAATGTTTCCTTTGGCTCCTACATCAAGTCCATGCCATTTAAACCTTGCCGGGCACTTTATATGTCATGCACCTGAAGACACATGCTCTCCCTCCTTAGATTCTTCTAGGCCTTCACAAATGTTGATTCATCATGTTAGGAGACATGCATTGCATTGGATGGTGACAAGCACTGGGCTACATGAGCCTTGAGATGCAACAGTTTTTTGTGAGTACTTGCTATGTGCCAGACACTGTTTGAAGGCCTTTGCATGCTTTATTTCATTTATAACTTTTAAAAAATTTATTTATTTGAAAGGCAGAATAATAGATAGGGAGAAACAATCTTCTATTCACTGGTTCATTCTCCCAAATGGCCACAGTTGCTGGGGCTGGGCCAGGCTGAAGCCAGGAGCTAGGATCTTAATTTGGGTCCCCTACATGGGCAACAGAGGTCCAAATAGTTTTGAGCCATCTTCTGCTGCTTTCCCAGGGGCATTAGCAGGGAGCTGGAGCAGAAGCAGAGCAGCTGGGACTTGAACTGGCACTCTGATATGGCAGCATCACAAGTGGTGGCTTGACCTCTGTGTCACTGTCAACCCCTATTTCATTTAACTATTGCCGTGATATTATGTGCTAGTCACTGTTATCATTCTTAATTTACAGAAGAGCAAACTGAGGCAGAGAGAAATCAAGATGAAGCAGTTTGCCCAAGATCACAGAAACTGATGGATTCAGGATTTGCTCCCAGGTAGTCTGTTCCAGAGCCCGCACCTGTAGCCACTGGATTCCGTTGCATTTCCACATAGATTATTGCTATTTCAAAGGGATACCTTTGAGATTCTCCATGGCTTAGGCTATAAACTCTGAAATATGAGTAATTCTTCATTTTCATTCTTTACTAGCAACAGCCAACTGCACAACAGTCATGTTGGATGAGGGACCAGCATACAAAGTTAGAGCTGAAAATGGGTGATCTAAATAATGAGATTGAAAGAAGAAAACTGACAAGTGGAGAGCTAGAATAGAGGGCCAGGGGGAAGCTCAGCAGTCTACAGTGAGCCATGTATTCAGTGGAGCAAGTGTCTGTGCTAGCACTGAGCAGAGATCAAAAGAAATAAAATAATTTACCTCTCTCCTAAAAAAAAGTTTGCAATTTTGCCATCATTTTCTTTCAAAGGAATTATTAAGGAGAATGTGCACAGAGAGAGTAGACAAACAGGTGGCCTTCAAAACACCTGAGTTTTTTGTGATGGGAAATTCTGCATGCAATAAAATTTTCTCTCTTGGGTCAATGAGTGAAGTCAGTTCATTCAAACCTTTTTATAAAATTCTTGCCTTGTTTAAAATTCTTCCATAGTTGGCTGTCAGGTTGGTAGTAACTTTATTTGAGCCAAGAGCATCCATGAGTTTCACAGACGCACATAATACCTATTTGGTATTGGAGAGGGCTAGCTCTGGAGCCAGCCAGCCAGCCAGGATTCAAATCCTGTCTCTATAACTTTCTGGGTGAGTGACCTTGGATAATTTACTTGATGATTCCAAGACAATTTTAATAGCAGTTATTATTATAATGACACACGCACTGACTTTTGTGACTTTATTAGCCAGCAGGGGTAATAATGACAAATAGTTGTTCAGAACAAGCACTTTATGTGTGTGATGTCACTTGAACCCTCACAGCTGTGTTCTGCTGTCATTTCTATTTTACAGATGAAGAAGCTGAAGCTTCGCAAAGCTAAATAGAGTGGCCACTGCTACTGAGCTAGAATCCAAACCCTGTTTGGTTTGGTTCCACAATCTGAGGTCTTAGCAATTTCAGTCTACTAATTCTTAAAGTTATCTGTTTTATACAAATAACTTTTTTGCCTTTTTAAAAAAGAATTTTATTTATTATTTACTTAAGAGGCAGAGTCAGAGAGGGAGAGTGAGAGGGAGAGGCAGAACCAAGAGGTCTTCCATCTGCTGGTTCACTCCCCAAATGGCTACAACAACCAGGGCTGGGCCAGGCAGAAGCCAGGAATCAGGAGTTCTTCCAGGTCTCCCACATGGGCGCAGGTCATCCTCTGCTGCTTTCATAGGTGCACTAACAGGAAGCTGTAGTGGAAGTAGAGCAGCCAGCACTCAAATCAGCACCCATATCACATGCTGGCACCGCGGGCTGAGATTTAACCAACTTAGCCATAGTGCCGGCCCCTATTTTTTTTCCTTTTTTTATATTCAGCCACTAAAATAAACGTTAAAACCATGCCTATCCACCCTACATGTGCTCAATACATGTCTGTTTCATAATTGAAATAGCTCAAAGGCAGAATTGCTCAATTACCTGACCTTCCTTTGGCTCTAACAACTGTTTTTGTCAGTGTTGATTATTTTTGAGCAATTTGTTCTCGACTGGGATGATTGTATTTTGTGGGCAGGAGGCACTGGAAGTAGAGATTTAGGCATGGCAGGACTCGGACAGAAAGGATAATCCCAACTCCCTCCCCACCAGATGTTATATGTAAGAGCACTGGCTGATGAAGGGTTTGGCCATGGAAAGTTCAAGACTGAGACCTGCACCAAGAGCTACGCCTCAAGGAAGTTGACACAGATTGAAGAAATGCAGGATGTTAGGGGATTTTCTTTCTTTGTGAGAAAATTGATGTCCTCTACATGCTAATTAAATTTACATGGGCCATGACTTCCTAGGGCTCCAAGTGCAGGGATTCATGTTGAATGATTCCAACACCCCCACATGCTTTCCATCACATCTTAAAACAGCTCTGCGTCTGACGGAGCAGGATGTGCGAAGCCCACAAGCTGCCTTTCTGTTTTAGGATGCAGGACTAAGAGGTTCTGGGAATGCATCGGCTAATCTGTCAATGTCCCTCTCTTCACAGAAACAAAATAGGAATGATTACATTTGCCATCACCATGGATGGAAGATCAGTGACATGACATTTGACCATCTGTTTACAGTTTTTAAGTGGATGCTGCTAAATGGAGGTACAAACTGGTGCTATTTTATTTTAGGCCCAGTGATCTCATTTACCCTCAAGCTGGAGAAAGGATATTACTACTTTCTCTTAGGAAAAGAGCTACAGAAAGTTTTTTTTTTTCTTTTTTTGAGTCCCCTTCTCCCCAGCAGGAAGAGGACTTTTGGAATTAAAACAATCAGCTCGCTATAGAAATAGAAACATCATCGTGTAAGGTTCTGTGCTAACGCTAGAAGATGCATAGATTCCACTTGAGAGAGCAGGAGACTGCAAGGAAAGGATGTTTTGAATATGACGTTCTTGAGAGAACAAACTGCCCATCAGCTGCCACCCTGGCCAGGAGCCCAGAAGGAATAGTACCCAGGCCCTCCACTTTCTTCACCCCAACACACTTGGGACCCACTATCAGCAGGATGACAAATAGCACCAGAGAGGACTACTATGCTGTTGTCTCTTGTCCCCTGCATGGTTCTTTGGTGGCCCCTGGGAACAGAGTACTTCTAGTCATGAGTATTCTTCCCATGAACACACTTGCAATGGGACATGCCCCCTTCCTATGGCGATCAGTGACTGATACACAGATTTGTCGTCTACCATAACAAACAGCTAGTTCTGCCTGCTCACTTGCCCCTCCTGTACTTCTTACCTGCAGTCTGGAAGCTCCAAGCATACTTCAGTGAGGGCAAACCACAGTAGGAGACCATGGAACCAGTGGCTCATTACATCCTTCGAGTACCCCTTAGCTTTTAGAGGATCCTGCCTGTGGTGAGTGTGCTCAGCTCTGACATTTGGGCAAAGATTCAGGAGAAGGGACAGGGGACTCTCACAGCCCCTTGACTTGGCATCCAATGAGGCCTGGGTCAGAAACGTACAGATTTGCAACATCTCCTTTAAGTTCTGATGATTTTGTTTTGTGTGTGTGTGTGTGTGTGTGTGTGTGTGTGTGTGTTAAGACTTATCTATTTATTTTGAAAGAGTTCGGGAAAGGAAAAGACAGAGAGATCTTCCATCTGTGGGTTCACTCCCTAGATGGGTACAATGGCCTGCACTGGGGCCAGGTAGAAGCTAGGAGCCAGGAGCTCCATGTAGGCCTCCACGTGGGTAGTAGAAGCCCAGGCATTTGAGCCATCATCCACAGCTTTCACAGACCCTTAGCAGCTGGCTGTATGATCAGTGGAGGAGCCAAGGCATGGCAGTGTCACAGGCAGTGACCTCACCCACTCTGCCACAATGCCAGCCCCCTGCTGTGGTTTTGTAAAACTGGAATTATTTTTTTCCTTGATCCCCAAAACCCACAGTAAGGTCTGTTCCACCTAGGACAGTCGCTGTTATGTGGTGGATTTACAGATATTTGTTGAATAAAAGGGTGAATGAACAATGAGTACTATTTCTGTCCAAAAGCATGGTTCAAGTTTGCAACTTTAACATTGAGAAAAGGACTCTCCTGAGAGAGCACTGGCCCTCATTATTGTGAGGCAGCCACCTTGCTGTCACTTGGGTTAGAGGAGGATGTGGCATGCTTGCTTAGGGGCAAGTCTTGGAGTCCAGACAAGCTCATTAGCATATCAGCATTTGGAAGGAAGAAGGGAAAAGGAAGTGTGAAGAGACGGTGGAACTTAGGGACCTTACACTCCTCAGTCACATCTTTCAGAAGCAGTTCTAGTTTTGTTGCTCCGTAACCTTAAGTTCATAATTTTTCTCTGAGCCTTGATCTCTAGACAACTTACATGGGTTGAGATGTGCTGAACACAGAGGGGATTTCCATGCAGTAATCACAGTGACACACATATGCTGAGCCCTTCCTCTGGGCCTGGCCCTGACGTCAGCACTTTGCCTGTGTTTTCTCTGCATATGCCCTCTAGGATGCCAGACCACACTTCTAACACAGGTTGCCTTCCAGGAATGTGAGTGCTATGTTTGCACTCAGAATCATCTAAATAAAATACTGTAAATACATTTACATTTCACATACAATACATGTTTGCCCAAAGATAAGTAAAGGTAAAAATCCAAGGTCCACCCTATTTTGCAATGTCTATCTCAAATGTCAGATATTCACCAAGTCACTGAGTTATCAGACCTACTATAACTGATGAGTAGAGGCCAATAAAAAACCAAGAGGCTGCCATTGCAGTGTGGTGGGCAGAGCCACCACATGCAATCCCAACATCCCGTATAAGTGCCAGCTCAAGTCCTAGCTGTTCCACTTCTGATCCAGTTCCCTGCTCATGTGCCTGAGAAAACAGTTGAAGAGGGCCCAATTTCTTGGGTTCCTGCACCTAGGTGGCAAACCTGGGGGAAGCTCCTGGCTCCTGGCTTCGGTCTGCTCAGCCCTGCCTTCCAAATAAATAAAATAAATCTTTTTTTTTTTTTTAAAAACTGAAATCCATGAAGCCATCTTGGCATGTTGTTTGCCTTATTTCATGCTTGATCCATTTTTGAGATACTGAAAATTTTATCTGGCCGAAGAGGCAGCCAGAGATGAAACTTGGAAGCTATGTGAAGCATACCAGTCCCTGACTGTGACATCCGCATCCTTTTACTGCTCCCTAGGGTGCTTGGTGTCAGCGGGAGCCTGAGGTGCTGTGACTGACAGTGGTTATTGCGACACATTTGAAAGGCCTTCAAAAAAATGGAAATGTTTGCAGTGACTGGGCATTAACCAAGCTGGGAATCTCTGAAGGGGAGCTGTAGTTAGAAGCTTGGAGATTTCTAATTTTCTTTTTTTTTTTTTCTGGAGGCTCTTCCCCGGGTTCAGTACAATAATGAATGGCTGAGTGGCAGACTATCCAGCAGACTGGTCTCGGGGCAGTGGAGGATGAACTAACTTAATAAAGAAAGATTTATCCCGCAGAGTTCAATGCCATCATCACTCAAAAAGAGAGCTGTTCATAAAAATGAGACACCAAAAATGAAAGGCTGGGGGGTGTTTGAGTGAGGTGTGATGGGCAGCTTGCACTTCCATAATGTGCTCTCTGCCCTCTAGGATGTCTTGATATTATAAATCTCATCTTAGAGACACATATCCCTAAGTTTATCTCTGTTAGAAGTCAAGGTATATGATGTGGCACTAGTCATTTTAGGATGCTGAACATGTGTACGTATAATAACGTCCATGACCACATTGCCTGTACTTGGCAAGCTTTTATGGAAGATGAGGAGTTTTGAAGTGTGCTTTTCTGGTAGTTTAATATGACACCGCCCAAATTAATAAATGTGACTAATTTTGTCGGGATAGTTATTAACCTCTGAAGTATTAATCTAATACTGGATTCACATGTAGCCTGTAAGTCACAGCCCAATTTCATGAATTTTAATTACACGGCCTTAATTCAGGAGCAACATCCCCAATTCAGATCATTTGCAGCTTCCTGAGATTGTTTGCTTGCCTTCTGCACCCTGAGAAACAACTCTCATAGCTTTCCATTTGCCAAGCACTGCGTGTGATGGCACCGTGTTTAGCGCACTTCCTGACTAGACGTTCAGTGGATAAGGAAGAAGTGTGTTTGGGCCCATGCTCCTGGATACATGGACACACATGGACACACACAGACACATGCACACATAGGTCTGTTGCATAGAGAAGGCAGATATGGACACTGTTCTAGTGTTTGTGAATATATCACCTATGAGACAGAGACAAGTGACTATGGGTCAAAATTGCTGAATCATGGCCTGGCCGAGAGGGACTCTAGTTAAGGGTCCCTGCAGCAGGGCTTCTCAACATACAAGCCACATTGTTGAAAGGATCAAACTTCGCCATTACCAAGTACCTACAAACAAAAAAAGATTTGCCAGCTGCACTGACAGTGCATCCGCCTGTTTCAAAGGTGTGTCACGCGCAAGGACACCTAGGGCTTCACACTTACCCTCAATCAGTTTGATCCTGAAGTAGGCGATGAGGAGGAACAGCAGCAAAGCCACAGGCAGGAAGACCCCAGAGAGCAGGAACCAGCCAGGGAGCTCTCTCACGAAGGCTGACAGCACAGAGCTCATTGCCAGCAGTGCACACCCGCCACGGACGAAGGTGGCTTTGCGCAGAGTCAGCCCTGTTTTCTTCTGGGGCTCTGGCCTTTGCTCAGCACATCCCTGTGGAACTTGTCGTGGACTTTGCTCTATTTAAATAGGCAGGTGGGTTCTAAGAGGGTGGCTGGCAGGTTACTCTGTAACTAAACTACAAGTGTAGGCCGATTGAAAGGTAGAACAGGCAAGCTCTCCCAGAAATGAGCTTTGACATGGCAGGGGTGGGGATGACTATGGGAAGCTGAGATTTCTTTGGCTTCAGTTCATTTGGAATGAAAAGTACCTGACTTCAACTGTTCCCAGACATAGGAAGAATTTTCCCTGTATTTCTTAAATTTCAGAGTTAAAACTTATAGAGAAGTCATGCTATTCTACCTGTGTACCTGTGTCTAGGAAAAAAGTGAATGTTCCTATACCCATAGTTGATGAAACTTATACCAGGGGTGGAGAAACGAGATTCTTTCCACAAGTAAACCCTCTTCCCAGTACCTGTGTGCTCTACTCTGAAGCCTTCTCTAAAAGTTTGCATTAGTAGGCTTATTGACAATTAATTTCCCTGGAACCCACTTCTGGGACAGATGCTGGTCAGCCAAAGAAAAGAAAGGCATGGCACCTGCCCAATGGGAGTGGAGACAGACCGAAGCCGAAATAGCCATAAATGACAACAGTGGAGGAGGGAGCGAATGGCTCCGTTTCACCTGCCCCTGATGCTTGCTGCAATAGCTTGTGCTCAGCCTTGCCCTGTTTACTCTATCCATGGCCTGCTGTTGGCTGCAGACAGTGGCCCCAGCATCATAAGGAGAGTGCTCCCAAGTTTCTGGGAAAAGAAAAAGTAAGAAACTGACGAATGGTAAAGCTGAAAATGACTTGTTGACTATATTGAGTGCCAGTGACTGCTTTAGCAGAAAAATTTCCAAAGATGCTGGCTTATTAAATTAAAATGGACTTAAAGACTCACTTCCACATTCAAAGGATTCCCTGGAGAATTTTGAAAATTTGGTGGAGGAATGGGGATGGCAGCCACCTCCCAGGGTTCATCTCCCTTCTCAGAGGCTAACCTTGTCCCCACCCCCTTGGCAGCTACTCTCGTGAGTTACTGGCACCAGATGTCAAGGTCAAGCTGTTGCCAGGGCCTCCCAAATTCTTTCATCAGGGACTTGGCATGGCCATGCAGAGACTTAATCCCGGCTGTAAAGTCTACATCCTAATTCACAAAATAGAAAAACTGGAGAGGGTCTCCGCTGCTGCCTGGCATTCCCAAGCAGGAGAAGAGTAAACAGCTTCCTCCTCAGAAGAGAGATGTCTTAGTCTCCCAAGTACATTCAGTGCACTTGATTTGCTTCTCTTCCCCCTCTGGAGGAACCCAGAAGTGGTGTTGCTGCTATTATCCGGCTTACCATTTCCACTGAGATGCTCTCTGGTGCTCCTTCAGCTCCAACAAGACAGTAATTTGCAGCATGTCAGTCTTCAAACAGCCTCTATGAGCAGGCGACATTTCCAGACAGATGTTAGGCAGTTGGTAGGTAGACAGTTTGTCATGCTCTTTCTTCCTGTTTCATTCTGTTTGCAAGGTTTCATTACATGCCAGGAGAAAGGTAAGTAAGGGGAATGGGTAAATATGTAAATGACAATATTGTCATTCCCCTGAACCAACATATAAACAAAGTACAGTGGAAGTGCTGAAGAGAGACTGATTAATTCCAACCAAGGGATTGGGCTGAGTTCATTAAGAAGATAGCACTTGAGCTAAACCTGTGGGATGGGTAGCTTAGGAAAATCCTCCTCAAACAAACATGACAGTAGGCAGGGCAGGGTTTGTGGAAGATAGGCAAGGACTGAGAGTAATCAAATGATACAGAGTTCAGAGAGTGTTGTAAGGAATACGCTGAGAGGGTGCAGTGCTGTCAAAGCTTATAGACTGCTAAGGACTATTCTATTTGGACAAGAAGGACCAGGCAAAGTTCTCTGATCATGGACATGCATGATGTGACCTGGGTCCAGGAATCACTTAGGCAGCACTTTACCAAATGAACTAAAGAGGTCTGAATAGGCTGTCTCATCACTGTAGCAAGATGCGAGTCTGACATAGGAGACAACAGAGAGGGAGGCCGCAGGACAACCCCAGTGAATGATCCAATGGAGAGAGGGAGGTGGTGCCAGGGACACTAACCAATAATAACTAATCACTTACTATGAGTCATCTTCACATAACCTTCTGAGCCTTGTTATACAGATGAAAAACTTAGGCACAGGGAGGGTAAATGAGATGCCCACGATATACATCAATCTAGAAGTAGCAACGGTAGGATTCCAATTCAGATTCATATCCAGAGCCCAAGCTCTCTATGCTGTATCTGACTTGGATGGTGGTGGTACAAGTGGAGGCCTGATTCCAAGGCTGGGCAGCAGGTTTGGATGGAGAGACGTGTAGTTTTGTAGGCATTCAACTGGAAGTGTTGTCGAGATGTTCAGGAACCTGGTGGGAAATAAGGAGTTCAGGAGCAAAGACAAGGCTTGCCATGTAGATTTGGGGTTTATTACTTATAGAAGGTGGCTAAGTCAAGGAGTTGGAGAGATTGCTCAGGAAGGAGTGTACATGACAATAAAGACCAGCATCCGACCCGAAAGAATGCTCTCTTTTAAGATATGGAAGGAAGGAAGAGGACCAGGAAAGAAGCTGAGAGGAAGGGAGGCACTCAGGGACAAGAGAGAAGCCTGCAGGAAAAATGAGGGAAATGGTGGCAAAAGAAGATTTCAAAAGAGGCAGGAGATAAGACGGAATCTGACATCATCCAGGTCGGCACCAAAAGTTTTTGAGAGTATACTCTTGGAAGTAGACTTCAACATTTTTCTTTTCTTTTCCTTTCTTTTCTTTTCTTTTCTTTTCTTTTCTTTTCTTTTCTTTTCTTTTCTTTTCTTTTCTTTTCTTTTCTTTTCTTTTCTTTCTTTCTTTCTTTCTTTTTTTTTTTTTTGACAGGCAGAGTGGACAGTGAGAGAGAGAGAGACAGAGAGAAAGGTCTTCCTTTTGCCATTGGTTCACCCTCCAATGGCTGCCATGGCTGGCGCGCTGCGGCCGGCGCACCATGCTGATCCGAAGGCAGGAGCCAGGTACTTATCCTGGTCTCCCATGGGGTGCAGGGCCCAAGCACTTGGGCCATCCTCCACTGCACTCCCGGGCCACAGCAGAGAGCTGGACTGGAAGAGGAGCAACCGGGACAGAATCTGATGCCCCAACCGGGACTAGAACCCGGTGTGCCAGCACTGCTAGGTGGAGGATTAGCCTAGTGAGCCGTGGCGCCAACCTCTATTTTCTTTTAAAGTAGCTATTTTGGTGTATTATTGAAATATAATAAACTGCACATACTTAAATGTATAACTTGATATGTTTTGACATATGTTTATGCCATGAAGTTACCACCACAATCAAATAATGAATATATTCATTCCTCCTAAGTGTTCTCATGTTCCTTTTCTGTTTCAACCTTTTGATTCTCAGCCATCTACTTAACAACTATCTGTTCCTACTCATTTGTTTGCATCTTCTAGAATGGAATCATATAGTACGTACCCCATTAATGTGTAGATTACTTCACTTAAAATTTGAAATTAACTTGTCTATATTAATAATTCGTTACTTTGTATTGCTGAATAGTATTTTGTTTATCTATTCTCCTGTTGGTAGATATTTGGGTTGTTTTCTGTTTTAGGACACTACAAACAAAGGTTCTATGCACATCTGGTACAAGACTTCATAAGAACAAGTGCTTTCATTTCTTCTGGGAAAACACCTTGTAGAATGACTGGATCCTCTGGTAGATGTATGTTGACTTTTTAAGATATTGCCAAACAGTTGTCCAAAGTGGTTATACCATTTTATATTCCATCATTTGAAAATTCCAGTTCTTTCACATACTCAGAAACTGCTGGTATGGTGAATCTTTTAAATTTTAAATATTCCAATGGTTTGAATTGGTATATTGTGAATTTAATATGCACTTCCCTAGTGACGTTGAACATCTTGTCACATGCTTATCTGACATTTGTTTTGTTTGATGAAATGCCCATAATGCCCATTCAGCTATTTTATCCATTAATAAAAGTTATGTAGTTTGTTTTCTTATTGAATTTTGAGAGTTATTTATATTTTCTGGACACAGGTCAATTATCAGATATTTGATTTAAAAATGTTTTTCTCCCAGTATGTGTCTTATCTTTCATTCATTCAACAATGTCTTTCAAAACACATAATTCTGGCCGGCGCAGCGGCTCACTAGGCTAATCCTCTGCCTGCGGCACCAGCACCCCAGGTTCTAGTCCCGGTCGGGGCGCCAGATTCTGTCCCGGTTGCCCCTCTTCCAGGCCAGCTCTCTGCTGTGGCCCGGGAGTGCAGTGGAGAATGGCCCAAGTGCTTGGGCCCTGCACCCTCATGGGAGACCAGGAGAAGCACCTGGCTCCTGGCTGCAGATCAGCGCAGTGCGCCGGCCGCGGCAGCCATTGGAGGGTGAACCAATGGCAAAAGGAAGACCTTTCTCTCTGTCTCTCTCTCTCTCACTGTCCACTCTGCCTGTCAAACAAAACAAACAAACAAACAACAACAAAAAACAAAAAAAACCCCACATAATTCTGATGAAAAGCAATTTTTCAAGTTGCTCTTTATGGATTGTGCTTTTCATGTCTCAGAAATTTTGTGCAACCCAAAGTCACAAAAGTATCCTCTTATTGTCTTTATAGAAGTTTTATAGCTTTAGGTTTGATATTTAGGTCCATAACCTAAATGAGTTATTTTTTGTTTGGTGAGAGGTATGGATTGGAGTTCTTTTCTTTTTGTTTACATATGGTTATTATTTCAGCACTACTTGCTCCAATGAATTACCTTTGCATCTTTGTCAAAAATCAGAAGTCCATTTTGTGTGGGTTTATTTCATCATTCTCCACTCTCTCTTCTGCTCCACTGATCTCATTGTTAATCTTTGCACCAGCACCACTCTGTCTTGATTACTGCAGCTTTAGAATAAACTTTGAAGTCAGTTATTGTTTGTCCTCCAACTTTGTCTTTTTCCAAGTTGTTTTAGCTTGTATAG